AGATGTAAAGGTAACTCGAAGTGGTTGCTGAGTAGTGGCTGGGAAACACAAGGACTCATAAACTGCTATTGATTTTTTCCTAGTATTTGATAATAATAATGTCATTTTTTGTGTTTATTGTTCTTTGATGTTATTTTCACACATTACAGTTCTTATTTCAATTTCATTTCATGTGTTACAGTTTATGTCTGTTGTAAACTGATGGAAGGGGAAGGGAGAGTCCCAACACCAAGAAAGAGTTGTGCTAGGTAAACAAAGTTTTTTAGCTGTGTTTACAGATCTGAAAGATGACATCTATTCAAATTTTGTATTAGGCATGTAAGTGTGGCACTGTTAGCACCACTATGAACATGCAGATCAGGTTTGCTTTAAATACCCTCTGTAAAGTTCGTGAGCATAATGAGATTTGATGTAGTGAGTTGATGGCGGTCAAGAATGCCTTTAAGAAGACAAAGAAGCCATTATCAGCTCTGTGAGTTTGAATGATGTCATGCAATAGGGCTACAAGAAGGCACATTTTCTTTCTGCAATATTGTGGAAAGACTTGGCAAGAATGCATTCACTGTACATAATTGTTGACAGCAGTGGTCAAGGGAAGGTACTGGCTCAAGCCCGGGTTCTGGGCAGCCTCTTGGTATTACTGAGAGGGAAGACGGCCATATTCAGTGTATGGCTGTGGTGGATCATACTGCATCTGCTGCAGAAATTTAAGCTGCAGTTGGTGCCATGGTGATACAATCAACTGTTACAAATTGATTACTTAAAGGACAGCTGCGAGCCAGATGCTCTGAGCATGTATTCCACTGACTCCAAAAACACTGCCATTTGTGATATCAGTTGTGTCAAAGCTAGAGCTTATTGGAGGACGAAGTGGAGACCTTTTGTGTTTTCTGATGAAAGTTGGTTCTGCCTTGGTGCCAGCAATAGCCGTGTATTGGTTAGAAGGAGGCCAAGTGAGTGCCTGCAACCAAGTGTTCTAGACACACTGGACCTACACCTAAAATTATGGTCTGTAGAGCAATTTATATGTGACAGTAGGAGCACTCTCATGGTTATCTCACGCACCCTGACTGCAAATATAAATGTCAGTCTGGTGATTCAACCTATTCTGCTGCCATTCATGAACAGCATTCAAGGGGATTGTTTTCCCAACAGGATAATGCTTGCCTTCATACTGCGGTTGTAACCCTACATGCTCTACAGAATGTCAATATATTAATAATAATATAATGTAAATAATGCTTGGCCTGCTAGATCACCAGAGCTTTCTCCAGTCGAGAACATGTGGGATATCTCATTGGATGACAACTCCAATATCATCCACAACCAGCATTCACCATCCTGTATTGACCGACCAAGTGCAACAGGGATGGAACTTCATTGCATGAACTGATATCCGGCGCCTGTTGACATGTCTGCATGCTTGCATTCGAAATTCTGGCAGTTACGCCGGTTATTAATGTACCAACATTTCACATGTGAAATGGCTTTTCTCGTGCTTGCATTAACCTGTGAACTTAAAAATTTAATCAATTAAATATGTTACTTGGAGAAATGTATTGCCGAAATTTCATTACATTAATTTTTTTCTTGGTGGGATTTTTTTCTATTAGTGTGTACTTTTTCCGTGTTTTATTTTGTATTGCTTTAAGGCAAATTTGCCTTTACTACAAAAGGTGGGAGGATCTTGCCACTCCTATTAAGTTTAGAATTTCTTGTTTGGTATTATTTAATCATTTGTTTCGTAATTTGTTTGATCTATGAATCTGGCAACGCAGTTTTGTTTGGAATGTTATGATTGGAAGCTATGAAGCATTTAATTTATGCTACGGAAATATTGAATGTTATTCATCATTAAGATATCTTAATCATTTGATCGTTATGTTAAAACATACATATAAATAACATCTATTTCTCTATATCAGGCTTTTTCACAATTCTTTGTAAAATATTCAAAGCAAGAAGGACTTGAATTTCATTTTTCAACATTAGTTCCCATTTTATTCCCCTGCTATTATAACTTCTAAGATTACTGGTTTGAATAATTTTATCTGCATATTTATTAGTTTCGGAAACTATCATTTGAAAATTATCATCAGAAGCAAAATATGGAGAAACTGTAGAATTCCATCACTTACGTCAATATTCAAATGAATAACAGGATTTGTTGTGAAATGTGGTGATGGAGGAGGATTACTAGTATCCATTTCTCAAAAGTTCCGAACCTGAGTTGGATCATCAGAACTTCCCATTTCATCATCACTAGAGAATGCCAATAAACTTTCTCAACTACCAGAATCCTTTAGAGAAATTTCTGATTCGTTATTTGATCCAATATCAGAATTATATTCTGTTATGAGCCACTCACTTCTGTCCATCTTTCTCTTATTTTGACAAAATTGGGAAAAAATGCTATTTGCAAAGAGCAATACACTGAACACGTGCAAACAAACTCACTTTATTTCTTCACCTAAACAAAAAATAGTAAAATCTTTCTAGTTTAAGGTTTTACAATCTCTCCTGGACTACTAGAGACATCTATTAGAAACACTGCAAAATACAAAAAGTGAAAAAGGCCAGGCAAATCAGTGGTTTCCTGTAGGAAAATACTGTGCTGAAGCAGTGTATGGGCAAATTAGAGAAGTCCTCTTTTGTGCCACCTGAACAGTGTTCAGGGAAAGCTGTTAGGTGGTTAAAACTATCAGTATAGCGTCTGTGCTATATAGGTACAATTAAAAAAAAATCTGCTTCCTTCTTAAAAACTATCCAAGAAGTACTTATATCAAAGTTGATGGGATCTTTAGCTGGCAGAATGTGAAGAAGAATCAATTTGTACTGAAGGGGGAGAAAGTAGAAATACAGTGGAGTTTATTGCAATGCAGGTGGAGTCGTACCTGAATTTGGGAAGATCCACAGTAGATTTACTATGGAAAGGTGAGGGTAGATGGGCCCTCGAATATTCAATCAAGAAACAGAGAACAGAGACTATTCAAGCTGATGTGAATGCTAATTTGAACGAGGGAAGAATGTAATTGTTCTGAGATCTCTTTTAGGCTCAGAGGTCCATTCAAGGGAAAGAATATGAATTCAAGGTTCGCAAAAAGCAACTGAGTGGTCTTCTGTGTGAGGGCAGCACCAAGATGATCCAAGCTTTTTACAGCTATTCTTATGAAATTTTTTTTCAATGCATGTAATGCATGTAAATGCCACATTGATAGAAATGCTGCACCCACTGAAAGTTTTAAACTCATAAGTGCTGTGGTGTTTCTTTCACAAGCAGATCTTTGGGGTGCATAAGTAAGCTTTTCATTTTCTTTTCTTTTCTTTTTTTTTTTTTTTTTTTTTTTTTTTTTTGTTTCAGAAGATGCTGTTTCACAGATGTATAAATTTGAAATTGAAGGTCAAATTTTAGATTTTTTTATGCATTGGTAGGACTTAATGCATAAATTTAAAATGATGTTCATATTAATGGGACTGAAAATGTGAAAAGTGTGTCCCTGAAAATGTTTTTTTCATGGCAGAATTATTTGATTTATTGTGTGGCAGAAACCATAAACAAAAACAGATGAAGAAAGACTTATAATCTTTGTAAGAAAAATACTGCAGAAAATATATGGCACAGTTAGAGAAAATAATAGATGGAGAATTTTGTTTAACCGTGAAATATACAGAAGATACGTAGAACCTAATATTGTCCGAGTCTTATCGTATCAGGTATAATATCAAATCTTATTGTATCAAGTGGTTTAAACATATTTTTAGAAGTGATAACTTGAATCCCGTTAAAAAGGTAACATTTGCAAGTATAGTAGGAAAAGAGTACAAGAGCCTTGCATAATATGGATAGACTGTGTGGAGGCAGATCTCAGGACTCTAAAATTCAGTCGTGTTGGCGGACTGTAGTGACTAATCAGATTTATTGGAGGAAGCTTGTTGAGACGGCCTTGGCCTGTGATAGGCTGTGGTGCAGTTGAAGAAGTGTGGCAGAAAAACTGAATTAATTACTCAACATACTATTTCAAGTGTAACCATTTAGAATCATTTCATTTATTGGAAAGCTGAATAACTGAGCATCATGCTAGTTTCACAATTTGATACAGGCTCTTTTCAGTGCTTTGTGGTCTCGTTTTTTCTTTGAGGGACATAGATTGGTTGACCCTGTATTTCAAATATACCTTTAAAACACACCAGTAATAATTATGCTGAAGAATAAATTAACATGTTGAATGCCATGCACATTTTATGTGGTTCGCCCATGGTGCCAACGTGAATTTTTTATTATCCGATGCATACTATGTTGAAATACTATCTGCAGAAGATAAGGAGAGTTATGTAATCGTGTTTAATGAATTTTTCCTGGTGGGGGGAGTCATTGCTCACCCCCGAGGGGCTGCAAACCATTTTTGTGATTTAATATTTAAATTTTTGCGATCTGTTACTCTTCAAAACATAATAGTAACAATGGTTATTATTTAAAAATTTATCTGTATTTATATCTACTCTAATTATATAATTTTACTGTTCTTCGCATCGTTGATCACCGGTGACCCCCCACGGCGCTGTATCCAAGTCGAGTGCGCCCATCATTGAACCCCACGGCAGTCAACATGTTAAAATGGGTTATTTCAATTTTGGGCAAAATATTAGGCAGCAGTGTGTGCCTAACTAGTATTTTGCAGATATGCGTGTTTATAAACTATCACAAAATGGTTCTTTATTCATTGCATCCACTATATATTTTGTCATCACTTTGTTATGGATAACAAGACATGTACAATGTTTTCAAGTGTTTAAACATAGAGACTTCCTTATTATATTTATTGGGCATTATTTCTTTGCATGTTTTATAGCAGATTAAACATTTAATGTTCTTCATATCTTGTTATTCTAATTTGGATATATAATTTTGCAATTATGTTCAGCCAAAACATTTTTGTTGCTAAATTAATATACCCCTGCCCTTTATTGACTCTTTAAGCTCTTCTTTCTTTTCATTTTAGGTTTGGTACTGATATTCGTTGGTTTGTGCCTTTAGGGCTGCAGACATGGATGCAACAGGTGGGTTGCGAGAATGTAGTTGAACTTGATTGGTGGGAAGAAAACTGTGTGCCAGAACATAGTGATACATTTTTTGTTTTTACCCCAGCTCAGCATTGGAGTAAGAGGACGATTGCTGATGACAATAAAGTAATATATGTTTTTTATTCTGCCTGTTTTTGTTTTGCAAAATTAAATCTATGTTTAAATGCTGTGTTTCTTTAGTGTTTGTATATTTAAATTCATGAATATTCAGGTAAGTTAAGAAACCCTACAGGTGTGTATTACGTGGGTGATTAATAGCATATGGGAGGAAACATCTTCAGTACGAGATGTATATCTTTTGAGATGCAATATGGGCAAGATATATTTTCTCTTTATTTTAAACATTCATTTATACTTTTCCTACTTTGGAACTTCTTAATTTTTCTGTTGTAGAACTTAGTTTCCATTTTGGTATAAGCCAGTATAACTAAAGGGTTAAGAGGCATGTTAATTTATGGTGACCTTGACATTGAGGGTTGGACAGATGGGGATTTTTATGATTTCCTAAGAGAAAGGGATTTGTATTTATATTACTTATGTTAGCAATCTTTCTTTTACGTAAGCATCCAGCTTGCATAAGCTGTTGGTTGGCATTATCCATTCAGCTCTTGAGGGCTCATAACGAACGTAAAGTGAGAAATGAAATCTGAATGATTTTCTGTCCAATCACACACAAATTAAAAATAGCTATGAATGTCTACAAATAATTACACATCATATTGAAATCATTTGTGGTCTGGTCTAATATTCAAGTTCACTACAGTAGCCATTTACACTACCGGACATTGAAAATGCAACACCAATGGCCAAAAAGCGATGAAACTGGGCAGAGAGAGGCAGCAACAAATAGTGATCTTTATTTTGAAATGATATGCATAATAATACAGAGCAAGAACAATGTTGGCTTAGTAGGTTGTAGAACCACCTTGGACGGTAATACGCAAAGCAATACATCTAGGTACAGTCAGTGAGACTACGGTTGGTGTCCTCAGGAATGTTTCTCCATTCCCTTTCAACCATTTGCCATAGTTCCTCTTCTGAAAGCGGCAATGGTGTCCAGTCACATCCCAAATATGTTCAATTGATGAGAGATCAGGATGGTGGCCAGGGAAGCATCTTTACACATTGCAGAGCTCATTAGCTGATGCGAGCAGTTGTGGTCAGGTGTTATCCTGCTGATAAAGGGCATTGGGCACTCCTTGAGGGTAGAGGAGTGTCACCGGCTGCAGTACATCATCCAACTATTGTTGGGCTATTGTGGTGACCTGGAATTGTATGCAATTTCGCCCCAAATCATGATGCTGCATTGTCGTGCAGTGGGGCATTCCACAGCTGCTGCCAGGTTGGACCTGTTTTCATATTGACTCATATGCAGTAACTATCGGTAGAGAAACAGAAGCATCTATCAGTGGAAGAACACTACCCTGTGCCATTCCATTGTCCACATCGTTCGAGCCTGGCACCATTGCAGACATTAGCCCATGATCTGGGGTCAATGGTAGTCTTCTTAACAAACACCACAAGTGCTGGCCACTAGCCACCAATCGACAGCAAGTAATTCTGGTCGATATGTGAAAATCCAGGATGTTTTGAACATATTGCAGAATGGAGGTGGAAATGGCTTGCGGGTGCGCGAGCGCTTGTCGGCAGGTGGGTCGCGTATGCAGACATCACTCTGGTTGCACCAGCACCCATCAAAGTTGCCCCATTTCTTTGTTCCAACCATCGTCGCCACAGCCAGTGCACTTGTAGATGCATCCAGGTGTGTGTCAGCTGAAATTTGTCGTATGGACCAACCTGCCCTTTTCAGTCCGATCACCATGCCCCTCATAAAATTGTCTGCTGAACTGTTGACAATGGTCTAGCATTCTCTGCTGTTACTTGCGTCCTCTGAGACAAGAACAAATTTTCTACGATGATATTCCTAGCAGAAATAACGCATGAAAATTGAACATTCTGCAGGCTCCTTCCCTACCATCTTAAACGTGTGCTAGAGAGCTGCACATTTAACATCATTTCGCAGAACTTGGTGACATATGTCTACTCTGAAGTTTGCATAATTATCAGGCCACTTCTTCTTGGGGTTGCTGCATTTTCAATGTCAAGTAGTGTAGTTGTACCTCACCTCATTTGTGATTCAGAATTGATAGTATATCTTGTAGTATTGCTAATAGGAATCAAAATGCTTCATGGTGATATAATAAGGCATACATTAGCAGTTTTTATTGTAGAAAAGCTATTAGTGGAATGATTTTGCTTAATTGTGAGTAAAAAAGTATAAAAAGTAGCAGAAGACCAAAGAAGTTCAAAGTACTGAGGTATAATTGTAAGAAAATGAACTGATGTTTGTTTGGAAAATGACATTACTGTGCTAGCAAGGAAAATTATTTATTTTCTGTCACCTTACATTATTTTGTAATTTTTATTTAAGGTCAAAGCTTTAATGCCTTTTTAGTATGAAGTTTATTTTAACATACTTTGTAAATTTTTTCTATATTGTCGTTTCATATATTTCAGATGTAGCCATTTTATCAATTTTTTTTACTCGAAGTCCAGAGGAGATAGTTACTCAGTTGCATTTGTTGCCATAAGGCAAAGAATACTTTAGCCAAAGCATTTCATCACAAAATTATTCACATGGTATATTTCTGTTAAGAAATTATATAATTAAAGGAAATTGTGAACAAACAAATGCACATTTAAAACATTGTGTTCTTAACATTGATGTCCACGAGGTGTCTTTTCATACTAAATCAACAATGCTCTTCAACTTTGTAATTCGCTTTTTCTTCCTATCTAGTATCATTTTCAAGATAGGGATGCTAATTTTGCCGTTTTCCACCAGGCAGTGATGTAAGCTATGTCATCTTGTAGAACATACCCACTTTACTATACCTAGACACCACTTTTATGATTATAGCTGCAGCCATTCGGCAGTTATACAGGTGGTACCAGACCTTAGTGGGCACATTTTGTGTATAATGTATATGTTACTGTGAAAGACCGAAATTGGAGAATGTCGACTTTCACCGGAGAATATCAACATTCGCCAAATACGTCGGTGAAAGACCGAATATTTCACTACATTCTTGTATATTCGGACCCTCACCGGTGTATGTCGACAATCACAGATATGCTCTGATGAAAGTCAAAAAGAGAGGTCATAAAGTGCCATAATAGTTTAAGCTGTTGCAATAAATAAGATTTGAATCGCATAATTTAGTAAGTTTTTTATTACTGTTATTGTATTTTCTCATTTAGAACGTATTGTATAATTAAATAAGTTTTTAACTTCTATTATTTTCCTTTCTCATTTTGAATGTATTGTGTGTTTTAGGTTCTCATGTTCTTAAGTTCTTATTTCAAGTTTTAAGTGCGTTTATTCGCGACTGAATTACGGAGAAGAAAATATAATATTGTTATATGTTCAACATTCACCATTAGTACATGGTGAATGTTGACATTGACCGGTGTAAATCAGAAATAAGAGTATTTGGAAAATATTTCGGACATACACCAAGAGACTATGTGAATGTTGACATTCACCAGTGAAAGTCTCCAGATTCTCCAGATTTTGGTGTTTCACAGTAACATGTATACAGGGTGTCCCATAAAGCTGTAGATATTTTAAAAATTCATAAAAATCAAAGGACTTGGTAAAAAGTTATTCTCGTGAAGGGGGATTTTTTTTTTTGGTAAAGGAAAAATTGTTAAAATTTTCATCAATAGAGGGCATCACATAGACGCAGTAATGAGGAGCATTTAAATCCGAGTCCTATAAATTGCAGGTTTAAGGATTGTAAGCTCATTTCTGTTTTTTCCTTCTGCTTGCTTATGCATAAAGTTTTAATTGTGATGCTGACATTAATGAATGAAGTGTTATCAGTGAAGTTGTTTTAACACAGCCAAGAATCGCCGACTGAAGCTTTACGAAGGTTTCGGATACAGAAAGGGTGGAAGAAAGGCTTGTTTTTCATTGCATGGAATAGTTAACACCCAGAACTGTAGAATAGGGGCAAAGACCCACATGTCTATTCTGAGGAGCCCTACATTCACCATGTTTAACTGTTTTGTGTGGTTTCACTATCACCATTACTGTAGGCCCTTTTTACTTTGAATAGCAGTGACCAAATCCTTGCTGGAAGACCTTCTCAGTTACTGGAAAACGCTATTTGCAACTGTTGCAGGAGAAAGTGATACCACACTTACTGGAACATAATATCCTTGACACAGTGACATTGGTGCCAGACGAGGAAATTTCTTGTATCACAACCAAAGTGAAGACGTTCCTAAGAACTTTCACTGAAGAGCGATTAATTAGCTGTCACTGTAGAAATGAGTGACTTCCCCTTCGCTGAACTTAACACCACTTCATTTTTGGCTTTAGGGTTATGTCATGTCTAGTGCACTGTAATAAGCCATCTTTTTTGGTGCAGTTAAAAGATACCATTTGTCACGAAATCTCTTTTATGCATTCCGATATGCTACATGCTGTAGTTAACAGTGTTGTAACTCGCTTCCAAACTGCAGCTTGTGGTGATGGCGGACACATAGCATAAGCGTGATATGTTTGTAAACATTTGTGTACACGCAAAAAAATATACTTTTCCCTGAAATGTTTGATTTGCTCTCATACTGCACCCTCTGTCGAAGAAAATCTTAACTATTTTTTTTTTCTTCACCAAAAAAAAAAAAAAAAAAAAAAATCCCCCTTCATGAGAATAACTTTTTCGCATACCACATTCAAATCTACCAATTCCATCAATTTTTATGAATTTTTAAAGTATTTACAGAATTATGGGGCACCTTACATATATATGTGTGTATATGTGCATTATTTTTTAAATTCTCTTTATACCTAAATGTATTTTCCTCATTATCTTATTATTAATTATTATGCATTATTACGTCATATTATTTTTTCTTATCATATTGAAGACAGTTAAAGGAAAAGTACCATCAAAAGTTTGCTCCTGTACTGCTCAAAAATGAGTGTGGATTGCATCATTCATGTATTATTAGAATTCAAAGACTTATCCTCTGTTTGATAGGGGCAATACAATATTAGGGAATGTTTTTCAAATGTTTGCCACTTTTTCTCTTATATGTATGTATTAGTATATTTAATTATGGCAAAGCACATGAGGGCTATCTGCCTGAGGGGAGGGATGCCTTCGTGGAGGGCTTTCCAAGGGAAACTGGCTCATATACACGTTACACATAGGGAAAACCACGAAAACGCCCATGCAGCCAGCCCGTTTGCAGGATTCGAACCTCGGACCGAACTACCAGTGTTCAGTGACTTTACCGCTCGGCTACTGGTGGGCTTTTCTCTTATATGATTCCTTGATCAAAAGAATAGCTATCAATTATAGTCATTTGCTTTTAAACCAGAATCATGACTGGAAGATTTTGATGAATTGTTGATTAGTTAAACTTGAGTATCTTTAGAACTTCAGTATGGCCATTAAGTGCTTAAAAATTATTTTTAAAAATAACATCCTTATTATTTGAATGGTAATGAGAGTTATATTATTTGAATTAGAACTCAAGACTTTGATTTCAGAAAAGAGAGGGTAGAGAAACATGCTAGCAAAGTCAGTACTGCAGCAGCTCAGGAGAATGGTATCAAGATTGGATTCTTCAAAATAAAAACATATGGTTAAAATTGCTAAACACGAGTCAACAAGTCATAAGCTGTTAAATATAACATATGTTAAATTAAAAAGTACCTTAAAAGCATGAATGTTAGTATCTTGGAGAGAAATCCTTGACAGCAAGACGGTAGCTTTCATGGCCTTTATGGATCTTGGAAAAACCAGATGATGTTAATTCATTACAGCAAATGAAATTTGGTTGTTTTTAAGATTCAAGCTGAATTAAGAGTTCAGTACATCGGTCATAGGCAAAACTTAATTGCATTAACTTTGATGTTCATATTAAAGATATTATGGTTCTAAAGATTTAAGAACAGGACAATCAAAACTCGTTTTGTTCAGCCTGAGGCTAAAATCAAATTACCCCACTGTATACTGAAAATTTTACAACGATTTCTCCTATATGTTCTCAGCAGAAAGCATGCAGAAAGGTGGTGGAGTGATACATATACACCTTTCCATGCAGTTAAAATTCCTCATGGATAAAAAAATTCAGTTCAGTGACTCACAAGTAGATGCTGTATTGATGCAGGAGCCCACACTCATTTCCAGTGCTGGCGAATGAAAAGAATTAAGAGAAAAATTTCTACTTTCAGAGGGCTTTAAATGGTATTGGGGAAGAGGTGAAGAAAGTTCTTGAAGAATATTAAATATTTCATGCATCAAGATCATGGGCAGACACAGATAGACTAACCTTTTATGCCAAATGTAGTCTAATCGTTAGGTTTTAAAAAGATGTGATTTTTAAAGTTTTGTACCATGTAAATTTATTAAATTAAAGGGCAGAGTTTGAAATCAGTAATGAATGTATATTATAATAATCATATATCGTAAAATGTTTTCTTTTTTTAATTGTTTATTATGTTGAATTTGTGTGTGAATTTTAATCTTAATATCTAGGTGTTATGGGGAAGTTGGTGTATATTAGGCCCTAAATATAGATTTTTCTTTGCTGGTGACACTGGGTATTGTGATGTTTTCAAACAAATTGGAAGAGTGCATGGCCCATTTGATTTGTCAGCAATTCCCATTGGAGCTTATGAGCCAAGGTAATTCATTCATATTATATCCTGAACTCTTGGTTTCAAATATTTCTGAAATACAGTCAAAAGTCGTTAATTCGGACACCCGTAACCCGGAATGATCTATAATCCGGACCTCAAAGCTAAAATCTTTCTGCGCATGCGCCGCATTGACGCATGCGCATAGGCGTTTTACTCGTGCGCGCAAGACATTTACGACTGCGCTTATGCGTCTGCGCAAGTGCAGAATACGTTTTCGCGTGCGCGTTTAATGTATAACGGACGGTATAAGCTAAAATTATCTAATTATCTATTTCAGTTAATGTTGATAATTGCGTTGTTCCTTAATCTTCGAATTGGATCCGGCTTATTATTTTTTGCAGACTGTAAGAGCAATTTTCTAAAAGTAAGCTTGAACTTTCGATTATGTCAAATAGAATTTCCGATGCAGGAGCTCCCAAAGGATCTGGAAAACGAAAGTATGTTTCGATGTCCATCAAACAAAAAATTAATTGCTACAAAAAATGGATAAAAGCATATCCTTTGTTTATCTAACTGTTCCGAAATTTGTTTATCAATTTCACGCTGCTCTGCGCGGGGGGGGGGGGACGTTGCGGCGCGCAATGAACTGGAAGTTGATATGTCAACACTATCGTTATCTTCAGGGCAGATGTTTTTATTTTATTGTGCTTATAATTCCTTACTAAATGTAGTATTTAATTTCGATGTACTCCGTCTTTGATATGATTTAAATCAAATTCCTCGTCATTATAATATCACAAATACAAATCAAATAGTTTTCTGGTTGCAATTTTCTAATTTCGGCTATGCGTAAGGTATGCTTTACGCATCCGCGCGTTTGAAAGAAATGTTTAATAAAGTAAACAAATAAATATTAGGCTTCTTTTTTGGTAAATTTTGATACCCTTTAGATCATAATTGCTCATTATTTTATAAATTACGGTTTCATATTTTTAATTTTATAATTTCTGCATGCCATCTTACCAGATTTAAACTGATGATCTATAATCCGGAATCACCGAAGTCCCGACGAGTCCGGATTAAAGACTTTTGACTGTATTTGTTTTTATTATTCATAAAGTATATTAAGGAGAAATAAGTACATCTGGAAGTTGTTGTGTCATCTTTAGTATGAAACTAAGGTACAAGGATTTTTGTTTTATCAAATTGTATAATTTTCATCATTTAAAAAGCTGAAATTGTACTGCACTAGCATTAAAAACTGTAATGATTTCATAGTATGGAAAATTATTTCATTAATTGTCCTGATCAGTATGGTAGTGAGCAGAGCTGGCTCCTGATGTTTAGGCCTGGGTTTGAATCCTGGAATAGGCACAAAGATTTGTAAATTTTTTTACAGCATGGGAATATGTAAATCTATTAAGAAAAAATCCTCTTTGAGATGATAATGACAAGGAAAAAGGGGTCTAGACCTTCAGATTCCCTCAATGGAAGTGTTCTCTGTCAAAATTGGAGAGATGGAGTTTGGCAAAAATCATACTGTCACATACAAGGTGTGCAAGCTTTTGGACAGCAGCATACACTGGCCATAAAGAAATCATGGACTTGATTCAGTGATCTGAAGGGTAAGCAACATTTGTCAACAATTTCATTACTCTGAAATCATTAATAATATTGCATTAGGAATGTAAGGATTTTAAGATCTGATTCTTAGAAACATTTAATCTGAAAAAAGAAGTTGGAAATGTATTAATAAATAATGCGCATTTAATATTTTTTCATTACTTTCATGGATGAGATAGTGGTTACTGGAGGCTGAAACCAAGGTTGTGGGTTTGACTATTGTAGAAGGTTTGGCTATATACTTGTTGCATTTTCTCTACCTTTTTAATGTAATATTGGCTTCCTTCATGTAGTGTGCGCTGGGCAATGCTTCTCGGTGATGGAACTGCTTAGTGATGGGTTCGACCATGTTTCCCAGTGCATGGTTATCCAACAGGTCTCAGTTATTTGACTTGAAGAAAGTTCCTGATATCTTGCTTATGAAAGTGTAAAGATATCTAAAAGTTTTGTGCATTATACAATCATTTACTTTTCACTGATTTATCAGAAGATATACAGTACAAAGTCCGTAATCCGGACTTGTCGGGACTTCGACGATTCTGGATTATAGATAATCAATTTAAATCTGGTAAGATGGCATGCAGAAATTATACAATTATAAAAATATGAAACCATAATTTATGAAATAAAGAGCAATTATGATCTAAAGGGTATCAAAATTTACAAAAAAGCTTAATACTATTTATTTGTTTACTTTATTAAACATTTCTTTCAATGTAAGTTGTTTAAGTTGCTTCGTTTTTTGTGCTAATACTTTCTCTTTTATTCTTTCTTCTCTAAGCAGGCAGGCATAATTTCTTGTTCAGTTACAAAGTTCCACTGTTCAAATCCTGTAATTGCTGTGTTGAGAATACCGACTAACTTGTCAATCAAAATTTTTTTCGTTTTCAATAACATTTCATTTTTGTTCTCTGTCACTTTCTTCACTATCAGAAGCTCGCATGCGTAGCGGACGCACGCATCAAACGTGCATGCGTAAGTTTATGGCTTTCAGGTCCGATTTACGGACTTTGTACTGTTTAATGGTACAGGCTGTGCAAATGTGAAAAATTATGACAGACATTTGAACTGTTTTATATGTTATGTCTATAACGTGCATATGTTGATTAATAAAAAGTAATATGTTCCTTCAAACTTCTGCCAGAATGACTGGCATAAGTTTTCCAACATCACCACCGCAGACAATTCGACAGACTTTCATAATTGAGTATGATGTTTTGCTTCAGCAATTAGGTTTGAACTGCTCTTTTTTCTTTTGAAATTTCACGTAATTTAAATGTAGGCATTTGATATTCAAGATGATAACAAATAAAATAACTTTTTACAGTTTTAAGCCAGAAATTTTTTCTTTCATTTATTTGGCTTTTTTGCCATTAACTGCATTTTTTAAGATGCTCAGTTATCCAGTATTGTCATGTATCCAGAATTCACTGCATGCTGACATTTCTGGATAGTCAAGCTTTTACTGTACTTGCAGCACTTTTACAAATATTTCCCGAAATTATTCACTGACAGTAGAAAATCATAAAAGGAAGTAAAAATTCCCCAGATGATGGCATCTTGTACTCATTGATACATTTTCCTCATTTTTTGTTAATAACATATGAATTAATTTGGGTACTCAATCTTAGATTTAATATCTAAGGTTGAGTGCTCAAATTGATTCACCTTAGATTTCCCCAAAAGCAACCTTAAATTTTATGTGGTTTTTTTAAAAAAGTTTTAGGTATTTCTTGGGAATCTGAAATGATTTCCTCTTCTTCAAACAGGAAAAATATTTTTATCAATTCTCAGACTGTATGCCCCTAACACCAAAATAAAAATTACATAACTTTATTTCAGACCCCTTTAAACATCAGTGTAGTTAGAATTCTGCCTACTTTGAAAGTTTAAATAAATACACTTTCCTTCCATATATTGTTAGCTTTCAGCTTTCTTGCTTTATTGTTTATAACAGAAAAGCAGTTAACATCATAATGTATTGATTCCAAGAGATTCATTTACACATTGCCAGAAGTCCAGTTTTTGGACTTCCTTGTTTCATTGGATTGGGGTAATTTAAGAAAAGTGTTACTGAGTAATCCATCAGTAGAAGTAATCTGAGTCTCTAGTGTACAGGATCTTTTATATTTGCTTTTCTATGTCCCTGTTTTCTTGCTTGCTTAATTATTTATCTTTATAATGAAACTTATTCTCACATGTAACATAAATTTTGTATGTGACTAATAAAAAAGAGGGCAACTTGGTTATAGTTCACTTCATAGTTTAATTTTATTTATATTTTGTATTCTTCTGGTTTTTATAGTCAATTTATTTTATGAATTCATAATTATACCTAGTAGATATTTTTTTAATGTAACCAAACAATCATAGAGTATCCATGTGGCATACCATTTTATGAATATAAACTTTTAAAATTATTTATAATTATGAAATGGTATTACGATTTTCTGTGTGCAACAAAACTATGAAAGAATTATGCAAATTGAACCAAACTTACAGGAAATGTGAGGCTGCAATTGTGCATGCTTGGAATGAGAACTGTCCACTTGTTCCTTTTATATAAAGGGACTGTAAACAGGGTTCGTATGGTCCTTAAAAGTCCTTAAGTTTTTTGGAATCGATTTTTGATCCTTAAAAGCCCTTAATTTCAGCCAAAATCATCAGAAGGTCCTTAATTTTAGTCTGAAATTTTTGTCTGTTTTTACGACAGCCATTTTGAGTGTGAATTAACATTTTGCAGTAATATTTTTGGCGATTTGCTGACAAATATGGTTATCTTTTGAATGGGTTCATCGGTTATAATTTGTTCCTATTTCTAATATAAATGGTGGGATACTCGAGTTTCTGAGGAAGTGAAACATAAGCATTTCGAAATTATTTCATTTTTCTAATGAAGATAGATCTCTTAAACAACTTTTCACTTTTTGGGATGTGACTTCTTTTATTAAACTGTTCTAAATTTAACAGCTTATCAAAATTTTGGCGATTTTAAGATCTGTTTCTATAGAAAATTTTTAATTCTGAGATCTAGGAATTTTTCGATAGTTTTTTTAAGAACATTGTAACATTGATAAATTTCATTTAAATAATCGTAATATTTTTGAATGATATTTATAAGATTAAAATAAAGCATTTTTATTTTTTGCTGTGATATTATAAAGTTTCATTTCGGCCATTTATTATATGTTTACAATAAGCAAGGTATAATGCTATAAAGCACCATTTACAAAACAGTTCTTAGCAAAAGCAAACTAGTTATGTAATTAATTAAAAATGTATTTTTAATGTTTTCATGGTAAGAGTTTTCCCCATGTAATTGTCTCAGAATATTCAGAATTCTCAAAATATACATCAGTTTTCCCCAGAGCTTAAATTGCTCCGCAGCAGGGCTCTGTAAGAACAATGAAAACATTATAGTTGAATGTTTTACTTTTGATACTAGATTATTTTTCTTAACATTTTAATCTTCCCTTTATTTTCTCTACTTTTCACTAGACACAAACATGGAAAATATCAAAAATGCTTCTAATCTTATCATATGGACAGGCATTATAGAAACAACAACAAACTCTTATAACCACTCCTGCTACTGAAAGCAACTGCGGCGTTTTGTAACGATTCTAATTGTTACAAAACGATTGCTGCCAGTAAGTGGGCTTGAATCCACGCTTCTAACCTCTCCGTTATCTCACTCCGGATTAGGCAGGAGGAGACAGGTGCTAACTACTAAAGTGGGCAGAAGCCAGTAGTCTAAAACAAGGCAAAGCACGTCAACTAAGCAAAAGAGCTTTACAAAAAAAAAAAAAAAAAAAAAAAAAAAAAAAAAAAAAAAAAGGCTTAAAGAATAGGGGGTGCCTTTCGGCTAAAAAGGAAAGAAACGAAAAGCTAAAAACTAGTCTAAGAAGGGGAGAGCCATTACGGCTAAAGAGAAGGGAAACAGGCGAAATGAAACAAAGACTATCGACTAAAAGGGGCTGAGAGGGAAGGCTAAACTGCGAAAGGGAAAGAGAAAGCTTTGTAAATATAAAACAAAAAAGTGGGGGAAGTCATGACGGCTAAAACAGAAAGTGAAGGGACAGCCAGTGAAGTTACAATGCTAGCGTAATTTGGGGGGGGGGAACCCACTTTTTACATAAATGAACAATTAATTAAAGCAGAGTAAAATTAAAATAAACATATATACAAGCAAAATAATAGTCATAACAAATAAAATAATAATCATAATTATAAACAAATAAATAATAACAAAAATAATAATAATAACAAAAATAAATAAGTATAATAAATAACATAATAACAAAACAATAGAAAAATTCAAATAATAAACAGATATACAATTTGCTTCAGGTGTAAGTAGGCATTATAGAAAGGAATTCTTTTATTAATAAAGATATTGAAAACTGACAATTTAAAAGATTCATCATATTTCTTCTGAATGTTCATATTACTGAAGAAATAAAATTTAGCAGGTTTTTTATACATTCTAAATGCATTTAGTTTATTTAGAATATCAGAAATCTTTAATTAAATCCAAAAATTCTAAAAGGAAAAGGAAACATAGAAGAAAGAAACTGAATACATAACGAAAAACAAATTTATTCTTAATGATATGTACAGTTATTATTATGTAAATTACCCACTTGTTTACAATTTCAGCCCTTATTATAATTTCCCATTTCTATTTTCTCACCGGAATGCAAATCACTTAGACAGTTTTTAAACTGAGATTTTGGAGTGTAAGACAAGAGTGTATTTCTGACCTCCAGTTGCTCCCTGCATTAGTTCCTGCCAGCTCTGATAATTTGTAATTATTCGTCTTGGATTACCATTGCCGACATTTGAGTTTGTTATGATGATATAGTTATTAAGTTTGAATTTGTTATGATGATAGAGTTATTTAGATACAATAAAATAAAATTGTATAGTCTTTGACCACTAATCCATATTTTTTGTTTGAATTTGACTCTTTTTGTTTCATTACATCACTACGGGCTGTGATTCATTTTGTTAGCATAAGAACATACCTTTATTTTTTAAGTTCTTTTTGAATAAGAATCTTATTTAAACCTTTGTTGGACATTGTAGTTACTTTCAGACATAGCGATAATTTGTTTCATATCTGTTGATGTGTTTTGGACTATTTAACTTTTACCAGATCAAATAAACCTTCATGGGTACATTCTGGACAGATTCACAGGTTAGGAGATAAAACACGCAGAAATTAGTGAGAACATTCTTTTGTTTTGAGACAAATTTCTAATTGTTAGAAAAGGTGCTTAAAGAGAAGGAAATTGATATAAATTAGCCAAAATGTCTGGGAAGGCCTTCAAGTTAAAAAGACTCATAAATATTTTGTTGAGTATTGTTGCTACAAAACATTCTGACAAAGGTTTAAATAAGATTCTTATTTAAAAGGAACTTAAAAAATAAAGGCATGTTCTTATGCTAACAAAAGGAATCACAGCCCGTAGTGATGTAATGAAACAAAAAGAGTCAAATTCAACTAAAAATATGGATTAGTGGTCAAAGACTATACAATTTTATTTTATTGTATCTCAATAACTATCATCAATAACTCTATCAACAAACTCAAATGTCGGCAATGGTAATCCAAGACGAATAATTACAAATTATCAGAGCTGGCTAATGTGTAATTATCCGAATATTGTTTAAGAATCAATGTCATAAACTACATGTATTTTAAACTGTAAAATTTTATTAGATCGGGAATTTAATAGGGCCTTTTTTAACAAATATGTTACAAAATTTAATAATGGCCATGTAATCCATAATGACTAAGGTTGTCTTATACCTAATTTATTATTATAACTAACTGCTTGCCCTAAAAATTATCTCTGCACATTAAAGTGATTATTGCCTTCATTAACTTACTGTCACAAGATAAAACATAAAAATGTAAAAATTCATGTAAAACTTATCTTCACATCTAGTGAGTCTTTAAAATAATGCAAAACACCTTATCATCTTGGTGCTTTAGTGGCTTATTAGAACCTTAAAGATATTAAATGAGTCACACCTGGAACTCTACACAAAAGCTATGACACTAATGGCGTCAGACAGAGCCAGCAACTTCAGAACTTGCCAAACCATGCCTACATCAGGTTTCAGGTTTGTTCTGATAGCGGTCTGTCTCTAGGTAGTAGCAGCAGTGATAAAGCCGTCTTTTATTGTGAATCATGCTGATTATGATTTACTTCTCATTTTAACCTATGCCGCTTGAATAAAGCTTACTATTTATAAGCTTGGACTGAGCAAGTATGTGACAAAATGAGATACAAATAAAATTCACATAAAACTGTTAGTAAAACGTAAATAAAATGTCACTTATCTCCTTTCAAATATGTTCAGTTTTTATAGTGTAAAATATATAATGCTCCTTGATAAATTTTATATATTTTATTTTCAGACTAATAATTTAAGTCATGTTAATAATATTGCATCCTACTTCGGATCTATTATTTAGGAGGGTATTACAAAAGTGAAGTTCAGGCATAGATAATATTTTTAATTGAATCAATTCAGTTTCCATTCGCTCATAGGTCCTTAATTTTTTTCATTAATGGTTCTTAAAAGTACTTAATTTCCGTGCGCAGAAATGTGTACGAACCCTGCGTAAAGTTACATTGAAGTTTGTTTATCTTCCTCTGTCTGCGGTGAACATTTAATTAGTGGTCAATATGCCTCATCAACAACAGAGAGTGCCATACCAAGAAGTAATGGAGTTTGAAGAAGGCCGCATTGTCGGTAAGCGAGAGTGTGGTATGGAATGCCATGTCAAGCAGTTGTAGCCCGCACACAGCTTAATGCCACAATAGTGATGGGTGTTTGGAGGAAGTGGAATGAGAAGAATCAAACAAGGTGGTCCTGCAATAGTGCAGTGGCACGGTACAACAGACACTTCATCCACATGGCTGTGACAGATTGTACAGCGTCCTCTCGCGTGTTAGCACAATGCTGGAGCATGGCTACAGGTGTTGCATTGTCTAGCTTCACGGCTCATCGCTGTCTTCTGCAGCGTGAACTGCGTGCAAGGGTTCCTCTCTGCAGGATTCCTTTGTTGTTCAACTGTAGACGCCTCTGACTTCATTGGGCGATGCAACACAGTGTGCGGCGTACCCTTTGGAAACAAGTAGTTTTCTCCAATGAATCTTATTACATTCTAGAGTACAGTGATGGAAGAGTACATGTCAGATGTTACAGAGGGGAATATCTGCTTCCACAGTGTGTAATGCAGCATCATACCGCAGAAGTGCCTGACATCATGGTGTAGAGAACTATTAGGTATAATTGGCGATCCCATCTTGTGCAGACGGAGGACAACCTTAACGGTGATCATGAAGGAAATTGTGGAGCCAGAGGTCCTCAACATTCTTCGATGCATTCCGGGTGCTGTATTTCAGCAGGATAATGCCCGTGCACATTTCTCAGACTGCACAAGCCTGTTTTAGGGCACAGCAAGTTTTACTTCCTCCATGACCTGCTTATTCCTTGGATATGTTCCTTATTGAGTATGTCTGGGATTTCATTGGTTGGCGACTTGCTCGTACGGCTGGTAGGCCACACATTAAGACTAAATTTTGGCATCAAGTCAAAGCCATATGTAATGCCATTCCCCAGGATTACATTCAGAACCTGTATGATTCAGTGCAATGGCATGTACAGGCTCTCTCATCACTCAGCATGATGGACACACAAAGTACTGATTTCTGACATTCTTTTCTTTATCTTGTAAATTCGATCATTTATTTGTACCACTATCACTAATTTGTTTAATAAATTTCATTCATTTCTAGCAATTCCTTCATCATGTCACATTTTTCACAAACATTAGTATAAAATAATTTTGCAATGATTAGAAATTTTCACCCTTGTATTTATCTAATTTAATATGCATATGTTCTGTTTTCTGTTTGTAGATGGTTTATGAAATATCAGCATATCAATCCTGAAGAAGCGGTACAAATACATATGGATGTTCGTAGCAAGCGCTCCCTAGCTATTCATTGGGGTACATTCTCTCTTGCAAATGAGGTAAATTGATGCTTTCTACTAATCCTCTGTTTGAAGTATATTGATGATTTAATGCAAAATTAAGGGCAACTAATGCAAAAATATTGTGCAATAAGGTGTTACCTTTTATAAGTTTACATAATAGTAAGTAATTGCTCAAAAGTGCAAATTGGTTAGTTCAATGTAAATTGTTCATGACATATTGTAGATTTATTATGTCTGTATATCTTGCAAACAGCAAGTAAATGGCAAATCCCTTCTCCCATCTGAAAAGTGAGAAAAGACTCAAAAGTGTAATTTTTTAAAGAATGTTTTCTGTAAGCTCTTGTTTTTGTTGAGTTTAGCTGTAAGACAGTAAAGTGAAGTAATGCAGTATTGATGTGATAGTCATGGCTATCACATGTTAATTTATAAAAGAAATTTCAGTGTCATTTTCCCCACCCAATTTGTAACCAAGAAAATTGCTTCATGAAAAATGTGTGAATGAAGGCTGATAGTGATGATGACATGCGTTATGATCTTAACATGTTGACTGCCACAGCACCTTTTGGATTACGGTCCAAGAAGCCAAATTGATTTAATCATATTATTAAAAATACTAGTTATTATTCATAACAATCATTAAAAAGTTACAGGATGATTTTCTTTTGTAGAAAAAACGGTCCTACGAATTATCTTGTAGTCGGCTTTTGTTCACTAAGAGTTAATTCATACAGACATGTTTCGACTTGTTGTCTCAGTACAGCTGCTAAAACAAGTGCTAAGCGAGTCTAATACGAGTTATCTCGTGTTGGGCAGTTATCGTGTTAAATGAGATTGGGTGAAAAGGCTTAAGTGCTTGTTTAAAAGTAATGTACTCTAATAGATTCTACTTTAGAACTTACTGCGTATATGCAATGTCGTATATTGAAGAACATCATTGCAATCTAGTTTAAATCCTTGAATCTTCCATCCTTATAAAGAAACAAATAGTGTATCATGGCAGTATGCTCTGAAATCCTGTTACAAACATCACTGTTTACAGGAAGAAATTTTTTCTCAAGAAATTTTAAACAATTTAAATAAACATATTGTTAAGGATATTAAAAACAGTTGTGAGAAATTGAAAGTTAGTTTTTATATTGGATGTACCCTGTTGTATCCTTTTCTGTGTTAGCTGTCTTCTGTGCTTTCTGTTTCATGTTTCTGAATTTATTTTAGGGCCTTTTTAAGTGTATAAAGAATGCAGAGAAATGGCATTACAAAATAGTGATGTAAAAGGTGAAGATGCCATTGGGGCAGATGACATCAGTTGAAGACTGATATATTGTTTCATTCTGTTATAGGCTCATAGTATGCATAAAAATTACCATACAATTAACTGTAATGATAGTTTCTGATATATATGTTGTGGAATTATGAATGTGAAATGTATCAGATGCAAAATTCCTTTAATTAGAATAGCCTACAAATACTACTTTAATGCCAAATTGGTTACCTCTGTATCTATTGTGAATGCTTGGTTTGGCTTCATGTGAATAAAAGAAGAGAGAATATTGATGCTTTTTTTAATATCAGTGATGTGGAGGGAATCTACAAGTCATGTAGCAATAGCAGATTTTTGCTTTTGATGACGGCAGTGGTAAAAGGAATCAGTTTTTGAAAGTGTACATTTCTGATGAGTTGCTTTTTATTTCAGAATATGGTGATAGGTGAATGTTCATATGAGCAGAGCAAACAAGATGAAAGTCTTCTATTTGTGAAGAAAGCTATTACCAGTAGAGGAGAATTGATGGTTTTGTGAGACATTTCCTTGAGATGATAGATTTTTATATTCTTAGGAATAATATATTTTGAATGGTTGATGATATAGCATTATAATGATTTAGAGATACCTCCTAAATATTTAATTTTTGCTCTTCTTTATCCCATATACTATATCAGGAACAAATCAGAGCATCAAAATTACAACCATTAGAAAATTATGCAAATAAACAATAAGAAACACTCACGCCCAAAAATTTAAAATATGCAAATTCAGAGTAAGTATGAGTAAGTAACTCACAGTAAAGCAATCCCAAATAGATATCAGCATGCCAAAGGCAAATAATAACATAGACTGCAGCAGTAGGTGTAAAATCTTGAAATGAGTAGTTACACTTTATATTGCATTTACTGGGAAAGCATTTGAAGACCAATAAATAATTCTTGATATCATCAAACTGTTTCTGAGCAATAATATAGGGAACTTTTTAAGGAAGGTGTCCAGCACATGGCTGTTAAACCACTAAGCATGTGTGGGATTTACTAGGCAGGTAGATTTTGTTATGTCTGTGCTCACTGTTATAAATTGCACAAAAGCTGGAACTTTTGTAATGAGGTATTAGCAAAACATTCCACTTGAATTTATATAACTGTATTGCATCTCAGCGATGCTGGTGCACTGTACTGCTAGCAGTTAAAGAGACCAAGTCCGAGATCCTGACTCATTGGGACTTCGACAATTGCAGATTTGGGATTATTCCGGATATTAGATCATCACTTTAAATCTAATAAAGTGCCATGTAGAAATTATAAAATTAAAAATATGAAATTGTGATTTATGAAATGGTGATTTATGATTGAAAGGGCATCAAAATTTACAAAAAAAGCATACTAATTATTTGTTTATTTTATTAAACATTACTTCCTAGGTAAATTGTTTAAGCTGCTTCGTATTTTTGTTCTAATACCTTCTCTTTATTTCTATAGACAGACATAATTTCATGTTTAATTAAAATGTTCTACTGTTCAAGTCCTGTAGTTCCTGTGTCGAGAACTCCGACTAAGTTGACAGTCAAAATTTTTTTGTTTTCTATAACCTCTCTGTCACTTTCTTCACTATCAGCAGCAGTACTTTCAGGATCTAGAACCGTACTACAGATTTCATCATCCGTTAATTGACTGATGATTGGAGCATTGCTATCATAATTAAAAACTTCTGTTTCATCATAATTGAAATTTTAATTTATTATCACTTCTTCACATTTCTTTACCAAATCCATTAATTGGCAAATTTCACCTTTGGTTGGCGATGTCCGAAAACCTTTATATTCGTACTTATCATCTTCATCAACCTCCCCATGAAATATGGTAGCTGGCCATAAATTATGCCAAGCACTTTTTTAAAGTATCTGGAGACACTTCCTCCCACAATCTTGCTATGCTCCACACAGCAGATTTTATGCCTAAATACAGGGCTAGCATAAATGATTCATTCATTTTGAAAAAGCTATATTTTCAAAAGGATTATGCGTATACACATGAAAAATATACGAAAAGAATTATAAACTCACCAATTTTTTTTTTCACCATTTCATCAAATTTCCCGGATAAGTGGAATGTTGCACCATGGCTGAATATCAACTTGGTGGTGAAATCTTTGTCCTCCAATGCTTCGTGCATGTTTGCACAAAAATCTATTTGACGAGCGTAGTCCTCTAGCTTTAATTGTTGCAGAAGCTACACACAGTACGGTTTGAAATGCAACCATTAATGCAAAATCTTCCACACAATTTTTTGTGGTATTCAGCATATCTGGTCAATTGACAGATGAACATCTGGACAACAAGATGCTAAGCGATATGGACAACAAGATGCTAAGCGATATGGACAACAAGATGCTGCAAAATGTATGGAATGAGCTCTATTATCATCTGGATGTGTGTCGTATCACCAAAGGGGCACATGCTGAATATTTGTAGAGGCTATATAAACTTGGTGAATGTGTGGTTGTTTTCATACATCTTTCATGTGTGTACATGAAATACTTTTGTAAAAATAGCCTTTTCAAAGTGAATGAATCATTTATGTATTTAAAAAATTCTGAATATTCTTGTCCATTATTCAAGAAATTTAACATGGATTTTAAAAATGCTACTTTATATTTGCATTTCAGCATACACTATTCTGATATCCATAGACTAAATGACGGATGTACAGTTCGGTGGAAAGAATAATATGGAGATATTAGCTTTCACATTAGTCAAATACGAGTCGAAAAGTTATCTACAATCAGGACAAACGTCAACAGGTAAACCGACCGAATTCAAATTTTTCCAAGCCTCGGGTATGAAATGATTTACAAACCAATCATACATTAATGCTTGTGTCATCCATGCTCTTTTATTTGCATGGTATAAACAGGAAAAATATTTACTCCTTTTTAAATGCTTTAGGTTGTGTATTTTTTCCGATTACGAAAACTTATCCATGTGTGTTATTATTGCTAAAATTGTTAGTCTCGCTTTGAAATCTTTGACACCAGTTGCAGCCTTTTCTGTAGAGGTTGCCAAGGTATTTCACCAGAAAAGACCAGTTTCATCAGCACTGTAAATTTGTCCTGGAGATAACTTTTTGCTATCAATGAGTTCTGCAAATAGTTCAGAAACTTCATTATCAGCTGAAGCTTTTTCTTCTTAAATTTTTATTGTCTTGTACCACGATGATTTGAAAATTTATAAACCAACCTGTCGAATGTGTGCACTGAGGTTTTTAAGTTAATTTCTTGAAAAATTTTGGCTTGAGCCATTAGCATTGGACCCGTCAATGGCATGTCCTTGTTGTGACACTGTCTGACCCATTTAACCTTTTCGCGATGGTGCACCTTTGTTTAAAACGCTCGTGCAGGACGGAAGGGAATCGAAGGCAGTCACCGTACAGGACGGAGGTTTTGCATTGCTAAGCCTAATTTTATAAAAAAAGATCAGAAAAAAAAAGTTTCCCTTCTAGCATCGTAATTTTTTGTATTCCTTTAGATTTTTACTTGAAATCTTATATATGTTAAAATTAGCACTTAATAAAGTTTTTTTCTTTATTTTACATGAAAATATACTTAAAAATTTGCTTGTCTTGTAAAATAATTTTCGGAAGCACTATTCAAATTATTCCAAAGTTTTAATTGATAAAATCCATCAATAAAGTTTTAAAATTAATAAAACAACACAATAAAGACTATTTAGAGTAAGAAGTAGCAAAATTTAAAATGAAGACTGGTAAATCTT